TGTGGGTAGTGATGGCTTTCCTCCTCTCCTCTGGCAGCAAGGACGGGGGAGAGCTTGGGTTATGGCGGGGGATGGATGCCCTCCGTCCCATGCTGTTACACGGCTGCCCTGAGCAGGGGCCTGCAAACCATTAGTGCCAACTTCTCTGGCCCATGGCCACCTTCCAGGAGCCAGAAACTTTGGCACCAGCCGAGTGAAGAGCACCAAGGCTTGTGGTGCTGAGAAGCTGGGCTGGTTTCACGTCCAGTGAGATGCGTAAGCCCATCAGTTAAACTGGCTCTAGGAGTTGCTGTGTGGATGCGCCTGGGTCTGTTTAAACTGGGCTTGGTTTAATATTTTAACTCAAAAAACCTGCCCTTAAACCCAAATGAGAGTGGGAACTGGTGGGTTTGCACTCATGTAAGTTAAACCGGTGCAACTTCTGCACGTAAACAAGGCCTGACACTGCTGAGTAGTGAAGAGCCAAGTTGGTCCTTCTCTTGGACCTGATTCAGTGTTGCCTTGCACCTAGTGTAGTCATGCCAGCACAAAGTTGGTGTGAAAGGTCATCGTATATATGAGGCTTTGTGTACACTACACACTTATTTCAGTATAACTATGTTGCTCAGGGGTGCAATGTAGTTATACCAACTTTAACACACACAAACACCCCCGTGTAGACAGCGCTATGTTGGTGGGAGAACTTCTCCCTCTGACATAGGTACTGCCTCTCACAGAGTGGAGTTATTCAAATGGGACAGCTCTCTCCCATTGACTTAGAATGTCTTCACCAGACATGCTACAGCGGCACAACTGCAAATGTGTAACAGAGACCTGTCCTAATAATATTTTACACCCACATTGCGTTCTAAAGTAAGTTAAGTCCATTTATTCATGTCTGAATACCGGAGACATAGCAGAATTTTCATAAGTCTTCTCCATCCATCACTAATTTGGCACACTCAGCAGCTAATATCTCAGTGATCTACTGCACACTATCTGTCCATCCTGCTGGTCTTCCCTACCTATGATGATCCACTACCATTACTTCCATTATTACTTTTTTGGAGTTATTTCCATCACTACACCTAATGTGACCAAAGTACATAAGTTTGTGCCTGTTGATTTTAGAGAGCAGAGTCTGCTTCTCTCCATTAATGTTTCTAACATAAACATTCATATTCTTTTCCATCCAGAAGATACACAAGGTGCATTCTGCAGTAGTGTAAATTACTATATGTAGTGCAGGAAACGGAGATCAGGCCCCTTGTATCAGAAACATGTTCCCTGCCCATGTTTTCCCCAACGTATCTTACTGGTCTTCAATTCTTTAGGCACACTTTTCTGTATACCTGGATAAATTCTTTACCGTCTGTTTGTTTGTGCTTGTGTGTTTCCAGAGTCCTTAATAATTGTCAAACTTACTCTACATTTCTTTTTTTTTCTTTTCCTTTGGGTGGGGGGGAGGAGAACCTTTTTTGAAAATTATGGTAAAATGCAACAATGGTAACTGTTGTGTCCTGGAATATTGTTTGTTGCTATTGTGAAAAACACAAGCAGCCCAGGAACAGTAGAAGCTTATTAGAAGAGCGGAGAAATTTCATTATTTGGAACTTAATCATTTGAGTATAAGTATCTGTGCACGCCCATGTGTCATACTCACGATTCATGTTTAATCACATTAGCTTCTATTTCCTGGACTATTTTTCTTCCACAATTAAAGCATATTTCAAACTTAATTTTGTTATTGGGAGGTTATGAAACAGCATAGTGATTAAATGCTGCAGTCAGACATTCAAACTAGTATTTGCCAGGGTTTTTAAGAGAAAGTTCTGACCAGGTCATGTAACAACTTCCTCATATGAGCTGACATTAAATTGTTGTTCATACTAATTGAGCTTCATTCGGTCCTTGAACCTGGGTTATACCAGGGGTTTGCTAGATCCAAAAATCTGTCACATGGTGGTGTTCAGTTTACTGCTAGTTCTTTCTGTGGGCCAGAATGAAATTGTAGTCCAACAAAAAAATGAATAGATCTACCAGAATTGACACTTTGTCTCACTCAAACACAAGCTGGAATCTGTACAAAGTTACACATTTCATTTTGATTTTTTTTTCCCTGACTAATACACCTTTGGCGTTCTTTAATATAATAAGTTTTGCTCCTGATGGAACCAAACCCACCCTCCCAGTTTACAATGAAAGGAAATGATCCTATCCAGAATAATAATACAATTAAAAAATATATATATACAAACACACAGTACACACTGTAAACAGAGAGGAAGAAAAGCTAGAAAAACAGTCACAGCAGGAAAACCAGAGAGAGACTAGGGCAATAACCACTGCCCTGAAATGTTATACGTAGATGTATGACAAATCACAATGTTTAAGCAATGTTATATTTTGTTTTCCTTTAACATTTCTGACTTTTCCTCAATGGGTGGCTGTTTGTTTTGTTTGTGTTTCATTCCTAGTAGGTTATTATTTTCCTGTATATAGTGCTAAAAATGGGCTAAATGCTTGATCCACGGGAGCCCTGTATGTACTGAACTAAATTAAAGGGTTTAAAACTCAGTATAAAACATAATGAGCAAGCGACATCTGTTCTGTATAGAATGGAATAAAAATGGTAGAAGCAGGAAAGAGTTTTTAAACTGTTTTAATTTAAATATAATTTAAATATCCAGACTCAACAAATAAAATTAGAACAAAGATCTTTCTATAGAGATCCAGAATCTATCAGAATAATACCTTGAAGTAGTAGAAAGGAGGCTGAGGTTCAGTGTAAAATATGAAAAACTGTGGAAAGGCAAAGCTGCGAAGTTGGAGGGAGAGTCTCTAATTGTGAATTAATTGTAAGGTAGATTTTAAAGCATCTCAATCTTGTGATGAAGGATTTTACAATGTGTTTCTCACCAATTTTTTTTATCTCACTTTGATGAAGAGGGAAAGCGGATCTCTAGGGCTCTGGTAGAGATGCAGAATATCTGTGGGTGGGAGTTATCTCTGTAATTGTTTCACTGTGATGAATAAACCAGAAAACACTAGAGTCTCTTTTATTGTTTTTAGGTGTGGTTCCCAATAATATCAGCTAAACTGCTTCCACTCAGTTACTGTTCATTTTCTTTGTACCTATTCAAAACAGTCTGATCTTAAAATAACTTGTTGTTGACTGTTTCAGAATAATTGATGCTTCATGGAAGTGTCATTCTATTAAGCTAGTACAGGGATATGCATGCCCACACAGAATGTAGACTCCACATTCAAAATAACAATGGTGTTTATGTGAACTATGGTGAAATTAATGATCCCCCCAACACACATACACACTCGATTTTCTCAGATAACTAGATGTCCAAATAAGATAAACAATTACTTGGGCTTTGTGCAAAGAATTT